ACGATCGCCGCTCAAATGAGGAAGCAAATCTCGTAATTGGGGATTTTCGCGTGCAGAAGAAGCACCTTTACTTCCGGTGGAGACCCCTGTTGATTGCGTCCCCAAAGACGGCTCCGGAGGAGAGCGTTCGGGAGCGGAGAGGAGGACCGGAGTAGACCGAAGAGGACCCGATGTAATGCTGACGAATATCATAGGCCTTCTGAGCAGGAGGAGTTGGAAATTTGGGTGCAAAATCATACTCCCACTGTGATGGTGCTCACTGAAACCTGGTTGAATGCCAACATTCTTGACTCGGAAGTCGCTCTCCCCGGGTATACCATGTTTCGAGGTGATAGAAACCCTGGACGGATTGGTGGAGGTGTTTGTCCAATTTGGCCTGCCTGCGGTGCAAGTGGACCTATAAGGTTTCGGAGAAGCCGTCTGGTGCCATGCCAAGCTAACATCAGGAGGATACGTGAATATATCGAATTCCAGCGGCAGCGATACTTGAACTCCTGACAACCCTGCGTAGATGGGCAGGTGACAGTCGATGCCTTATTCTTGGGGAATTCAACGCTCCTAACATGGACTGGGTCGCAAGACTGATCAAATCCGGCGCGGATCAATTCTCTCGTGAATTGCTGTGTACCTTGCAGGAACTTTCGTTGTCTCAGCATGTGCAGCCGCCGACGCGGCAGCAGAGCGGGCGAGGATCGATTCTAGACCTGATGATATCTCCGAGGAGTTTGGACATAGAACAGATCGAGCACCATCCTCGGTTAGGGTGCAGTGACCACATGGTACTGGCTCTTCGTTGGTCGAATGCTACCCACGCACCCCTGGGATTACATAGAGGTCGAAATGTATGGCGCACACAGTTTGAAGCGGCACGGGCGGCCAACATGACTGTGCCGTGGCTCTCACGGTCATTCATGAGGTGAATGACGAAGAGTTGGTATGGGAACACATTCGGGACGGTAACCTCCACCTTACTGACACGTTTGCCCCAGCAACTCATATTAGACCGCGAACACTTGGGCCGCCATCGTTTGATCCTGAACTGCGACGATTACTTCGGCGCCGAAATCGCGCTTGGCAAGCTTTTCGGGCCACTGGTGCAGGCTAAGACCTCTATCAGACATTGCGGAACGAGTGCATGGAGTTGAAACGATACAAGCGGAGGACCTTCCAGGTGCAGCTGGCAGCTGACTCAGTGAAGGCTCCTAAACAACTTTTTGCTTACCTAAAGCGGCGCACGAGAGCTAGAGCTGGTATTCCAGCGTTGATCGATGGAGTTGTCACGGTTGACACCGACGAGGGCAAAGCGAAAGCACTGGCCAAAAGGTACCGCTCACTGTACACGACAGGTTCTGGCTCCCCAACAACAGCAACCAGAACAACACTGATGCTCACCTCAAAAGAGTTTTCAGAAAGGGAGGTAATAAAAGTGCTTCAGTCGATCAAGACCAGTCAGTCTCCAGGCCCGGATGGTTTTCATCCCCTCATGGCGGTCCAGCTCTCCCCCTCACTTGCATGGCTTTTCAACCTGTCGATGCGCTCGGGAAGACTGCCCTAAGAATGGTAGAAAGCGGTTGTAGTTCCGATTTACTAAGGCGGAACGAAAGCTGCACCAGGCAACTACCACCTCGTGAGCATCACATCGATTGTCGGCAAGGTGATGGAACGGTTGGTGGTTTCACAACTTACGGATCACCTTGAGCAGCACCAGTGGATGTGTAGGATGCAACATGGTTTTCGCCAGAGGCGCTCCTGCATGACCAATTTGTTGCTTGCTCGGGAATGTTGGTCTAGAAGAAAGGACGAGGGATATGGTACGGACATTTTCTTCGTTGACTTCAGCAAGGCGTTTGACAAAGTATCCCACGACAAGTTGCTCACAAAACTCAGGGCTCTGGGTGTCACAGGGTCCACACGTCGCTGGTTAGAGGATATCCTGAAATAGAGATCATTCTGAGTGAGAGTTTCTCAGGGGCAATCTGCGTGGTACATAGTCACCAGTGGTGTCCCACAAGGCTCCGTTCTTGGCCCACCGTTGTTCCTGATCTTTGCGGACGACATACGAACCCGATGGGNCCTTGTACGGCTTCTAAGGCTGCCCAACTGGAAACAGTCCAAAGGGCTGCTACACGGTTCGTCGAAGGACTACGTGGGATCAGCTACGAGGGACGACTGAGTGCAACCGAACTATTCCCCATGTCATACAGACGACTGGGAGGCGACCTGATCTACACCAGACGCATCATCCGGGGCGACTTTGGACCAGAATTGCAGTTGGAATCCACCCTGAAGAACAACAACCGCATCAAGGAGCACGCACTGACGCTCCGCAAGATGCAGTCGATGCAGTCTGCCGCTGATCTATCGTCTGTTGAGGAGGGTGACAAATCTCTGGAATGCTCCTCCGGAGGATGTGGTGGAAGAGCCAAACGACAGCATTTTCGAGCTAAAACTCGACAGGCCCATGAAGGAGCACTAGTCTGGTATCAACACCTAATCAGCCCAGTGGAGCACATTGAGATGCCCTTAACAATTGGAGACTGAAGATTGAAGATAATTCATGAGTACTGCAAAACGGACAGCGTACATGTTTATGAGGTATGGTGACAAACAGTTTGAAAGGCGAGATTCATACAACTTGTTCACAAGACAGTGTAACCAGTTTGTCAACACTATTTTCTCCTTATCCGAATAGAGATGAGCGGAAATGGTAAGTAAATGAATGAGGATGACGTGTTAGTGTGTGTGTGTGTGTTTCAGTCGACATAAGGCGAAGAAGAAAAATGAGAATACGTGGACATGAAAAAAAACAGAAAGTTAATAAGCCGATTAAACACTATTGACGATTATAAAGAACAAAAGCTGGAATTCATTATCTAAATATGAAATGCAGGAGATGGAATTGGTGTGGGGGGGCGTGGAAGGTTTGAGTAAAAGGGGCAAGGAGAGGAGAACAAAAGTCCCAATGATGAGTTAACATTTGTCACCATAACCCATAAACATACATAGTGTCCATCTGTACTTCACATGAAGTAACTGATGATCTGCGAAAGATATGTTACTGAAGCCAATATCTCGCATAACAGCAATATCCTTTTGCAAACTGTCGAACAAACAGTAGCATAATGACAGGCTACTGGTGTAAAATATGAATGAGATGCAGATATTTTATTTAATTTTCTCTCTTCGAAAAATTAAAGCTTTGTGCTGAAATTCCCAGTACAATAATGATTGGTTTAGTCGCAGAGGAAATAACAAAACCCTGGATTTTGATCACACAAAAATTAATCCACAGAATCACTTTATCAAGGTAGCAAAGCTTGCGATTTTCAAATTGCAAACCAATCACGCTGATAAAAGGACTTCCGATAAAGATGAAACCTTTTTAGCCAAATTTGTAAATTGTTTTGATTCGCTTAAACCTCCACGATACCTCGTAACTCTGTAATTCACAACGATTATTCATTTTTTTCCAAATATGCTACTTTAAAACCAGCTTGCTCGAATGATTAGTTAAAGCTTCAGTGAGACCTGCACGCGACTCACTCAGTCGGAGATGCCACCAGCGATATACTGAAATACCGAAGTTTCTAAAGATGTTTCACCGGATCACGTGAACTTTCAACAAATTGATTTCTGGTTTAAGTGGTTCGTTATACTGGGTCTGAAATGGAATGGATAGGAACAAATGTTTTTTGAGCACAATATTTGTGATTTCAAGTGATTTGTGACGCAACTGTTTTTGTCGTGGGAGTGTTTATGTCACACTTGATTCCACCTTGCCAATAACATGACGTGATATGACCTTCCCTCGGCCACTGGCCAGCACATTCACCACATCGTTCGGGCTAGTTCACCCCATATCACATTTTCTCATCTTTCTTGACCTCAACCCCTAACCAAACACAAATTACTCAACTCACATGTCCACCACTTTGTACGAATGACTTATTTCAACTCGTATACTTCTTCGTTTCATATGATCATATAAATGTGCGTTTATAGCTAAATGAGAGCACGCGAAATCGATGGCCAATATCAATTCTGCCCACATATGTCTTCTTGTGTTGATGAAATAACTACTTGCGTACTTATTGACTTATACGGGATAGAACAGAAGCAAACTCTCCTGTGCACAAAACATGCATTCGGTTCATATTGTGTGATTGTGGAGAAGTAAGCAATCGAACAAATATAGTCAGCACACAGATTAAGGTCGAATTGGCCACGCAAACCTCCACCCGCATACTGGTCCGATAAGAAATGGCAACAGGAGCATTGGTGTTGTGACTGACCGCGCGAATCTTTGATTGTCTCCTCCCAAACCGTGGCATGGCTTGTTAGACCCCAGCTCGGACAAGGAAAACATTTAGTCTGCTCATTTTCTCCAGACGGCTTTTCCAACCACGTCTCCTCGCCATCTATAGACCATCACATGTACAGACCATCACTCTAAAGGGGTATAAAAATAAGCAATGATGCGGAAGGACATCGGTGAGTATGTGCACACACAAACCTTTTGACCAGGGAAACGTAATCAATCGAAATCAATAAATCGAATTATTCACGGCGAAACTAACAAATAAACAATGACTTGACCCAGTGTCAGAAATCTTCTAGCTACATCCTATCTAAATCAGCCTACAATATCATCAGCGCAATGCAGATCTCTATGTTTTGTTGCCGTTAAAGATGAGTTGTCTCACTTATCAGATCAGAATGTTTGAAAACCTGTCGGGGCAGTCAGTTAACATGCTAGTTGGTGGATGCCATATGCCTCTGCAAGTAGGACAGGTAATTCGAATGTGAAAAGGTCAGTGCTATCGGTGTAGCCTCGTAGCTCAGCTGGTAGAGCGTGCGCATACAAAGCGTAGGCGGCGTCCATCCGTGGGTTCGAATCCCACCGAGGCTACTGAACTTATCACAATCGACATAATGTATGTATGGGTTGATTGTGTACTCGGTGTGTGTTGACCATAGAGGTTCACTTTCTTTGTCCCTCTCCAGTTAGGCCGAATTCCTCTCCATCTTGTGCTTTACCACTTAATTAGTGTACATTGTGAGCTTGGCAGCGATCAGTGAGGCTCGCTTCACTGTCTCTGNCTCTGGCTGTTCGTTGATAATGATAATGTCTTAAAAGGCAAGGAAATTATTCGTGGACCCATAAGATGTTCACAGATATTGCTCTCTCTCGAGGGATGCATGAGACAAAGCATCACAGATGCTAACGCTTTTGTACACACACAAATCAAACTTACACCGCAGGGGTTGGCACAGTCCTAAATCACAGCAAACCATATCGGCTTAGGACCGAATGATGCGTCGAGCCCACTTGACTAGATGCTGTGCAGAATGCAAATGTGCAACCGTATTATTAGTTCTTTTAACGTTAAAACTGATGTTTCCCATAGAGTTTGACTGGTAACAGTCGAATGAATCACCTCATCGGCAGTGACCATGGGGTCTGTATTCTATTTCGCCTCATCTTGATGGCTATTAACGAAATCATACACTCTAACCGCCTTCTCAGGCTTGGTGGCCCCTCAGTTCACAGCAGTGACGGTGACAAGGCAGCAATTCTGAAATCTACAGTGCAAAATATCATCTGGAATGGCCCGCTGGAAGGTGATAATAACCTTGTGAAATGTGGATTGTTAACGCATCGTAATGTACACACTATAGGTCTACCGCGTTGATAGAGCTCGCCTACCGAACACAAAGACTTGACGCGGAAAGGTCCCAGGAATGGACACAGTTTACTGACTCTATCATAGTGACCCAGTAGACAACTCCGGTCTCCTTACTGTGGCACTCGTTCGGAACTGCGCAGTCAACCCGGTTTTTACTTATCAGAGCCCCATTATTTTAGAGCCACCCAGAGGCCTATAACGGGTTTCCATAGGATCGGCCGATGATTGCGGTGTGCGCTCTAAATAATTTTGTAAGCGATCGAACCAATGAGATATTCTATCAGTCTCCTAAGGCTAACCAATCGTGTTCCAAGACGCGATGTTCTTTTTAATCGCAAATGACTAGAAGTATTGCACCGGTGCACCGGAGCTACCAGATAGGTCCTAGGAGAATTTATCTTTGAGCAGGGCTATATGAAAAACCCGATTAGTCTAACCTACGCCAAAGGAATGGCGTCTACAGGACGCGTTTCAAAACCCTCTGAGGAACTTACTAACCCAATGCTCCAAAGGTGGTAGTAAGTATCAATTCATCGTACGCGGACATTTTGAAATCCACCTGTTTCATGCAGGAAGGTTTGTGAATCAACTCGAGCGTTGTTGCATACAATCTCTACTCGGTTGGCCATCACTAAAATGACCCTCATGGATGAAGTTTCCGTCAAATGGCACCAAATGGCACATATCAAGTCATATTCAAAGAGGTTGCCTTATAGGGTAAAGGCCATTCCCCCTATAAAAGTGAATATTCCCCTCTATTTTTCCCTATTTTCCCTTTTATTTTTATAAAATTTGAATTTCCAGAGTTTCCCGCCAAAAAAGACTCATACCACACCACTACGCCATACTTGATCCCCATTGGTCCATTGTCCGTGACTCACTAGTTTCGGGCTATTTTCCAAGGTCACTGATGGCCGGTCCCCGAACTGTATATAAACAGATGAGCTGTCCGCTTTCATCACCTTTCACGGTTGAGCAAAATATGCAGCCTCATCTGAAGGGCCTGTCTTCCGTGTTCTCTCTGATTGGGTTTCGGGGATCGTGCTGTTTCGTGGGGCGTTTTCTCGTTACGGTTCAGTTGGGACTCACTTGGGGTACCGCAGTCGGGTGCACCAGTGTACCTTCACTATTCCGCTGGGTTGTACGGTTCGACTCTTGGGTCTCTGCCGCCGCACGTATCGTTGGTCACAGCTCGTGCCAGTTCAAGCGTACCGCAAAGTTACAACAGAAACAACAATGAAGAACAGAAAGACCCCCGGAAAGCGGTATCTCAGAGTCAACTTTCCATCTCATAGACAAACCGCACAAAGATAGAGTATTTGGTGGTAGGAAAAGCCGAATACTGCAATGGTGACTCGCGCTCTCCTGTGATTGACCGCAAGAGTTAGTGGGCGGAGAGCTATTCGGCCTCTTTCGCGCCGCCTCTAACAAGAAGAGTCTTGTCGGATCGACACAACTGGTTATTTTATGCTAAAAAAGTAAGAAAATAGAATAACGGATGAAGCAGTTTGATTGATTGCTCAACTCGCCTTCAGATCACTCACTGAACCCACCAGCCTCGGCCCTTTTACGGATGTGCAAAATCTAACCCAATCAGCTGAGCGTGAATTAAATCACGATCGGGAAAGATAGCATCTCTGAACCGCCTTTCACTCTTTGAAACAACAAAAGCTATCGAGACGGCTCGCGAGGTTTTAGGGTTCGGATGCAATATTGCTGTAAGACGCTTTTTTTGTATGATTTGAAATTACGTACACCGGACCTACCTTTACTCGGTTCACAACCCTAGAATTCATGTTTGGCCCTAAACAACTCCCAGTTCATTGACCTTTGCCAATCGGATCGGAACTTGCT